GGCGGGCGGCGGGCGGGGAGGCCGGGTCAGGGCGCCGCCGCCTGCCTGCGCCCGAGATAGAGCCGCGCACCGGGAGCGTTCTCCGCGCTCCAGCCCCGACGGGACCTGGCGGGGACCGGGGTGAACTTGACTCCGACGCACACTGCCCGCGGGGTGGCCAGGGGCGGGGACGCGGAGGGTCGTGGGTCCCGGAGCCCCGAGACCCCTCCGAGACTGCGGTGCCACCCTGCCCGCCGAGCTGTCCTGGGACCCGGCGGTTCCTGCACTGGGGGCAGCCGTGGGAGGGAAGGAGGGGCGCCTCCCGGTCGGAGCTCGGCGCCTGCCGAGTGAGATCACCGCGGTTTATTTAAGGAGCCAGCCCTCGTCTTTGATAAACTATCGCGCCTCGGCCCTGGTTTATAGCTTCTGTGTGGGGGAGAGAAGGATTATTTATGGCCCCCCTAACTGGGTGTGATATCAGCCACGGCTATTATCGAAGCTAGTTAATCACCATAAAATAAGAAGTGTTCCTCGGGTCAAGGGTCTGTGCGGTCTCGCCGGTGGGTTCAGAGAGATGGGCCGGGGGGGAGATATACGGCTGCTGAGCATCTAAAGATAAATGGAAAGATGTGTGTTTGTGGGCATAATTTAAAGAATTTATAAATATCCGGTGTTTAAGCTTCTACAACGGACACTGCAGGGAAGCACGTGTGTTCTCTATGTATGCGCTCCTGTGCTTACACATGCATGTTTACATTCTTACCAAGCAAACGTATGTAAACACACGTTTCCCTCTCTGCCCCACAGTGGGAAAGGTTAACCAGGTAGAGGAGAGAAAATGCAACCTGGGGGGCAGCCTTCCTTTTCATCGAAGATCTTTCTTTTACCCTTTTGAGGGTGGGGAGTGCTGAATCCCACCCCCCCCCATTAAGACAGCCTTTGTGTTGTATTTGTGTGTGTGTGTGTGTGTGTTTCTTCTTCTTTCTTCTTCTTCTTCTTCTTCTTCTTCTTCTTCTTCTTCTTCTTCTTCTTCTTCTTCTTCTTCTTCTTCTTCTTCTTGTATTTGTGATTGCAACGCACAGGGCTGAGTCATTTTAATAACATACCCTCGGATGCAAATATATGGAAATGGAGCACCGCACAGATTTTGTGTGGAGCCCAGCTCTGGCAGGGTGGCCGTTCCCACTTGGTTTTTAGTGGCGCAGCTACATGCACATATATTATAGTAATTACTTTCTGGGTACCCTCGGTAAGATGGCAGAAATATGCTCCACATCGCCCCACGTTATGTGTGCGGCATAAAGCCACATTGTAAGATAATCAAAGGATTCTGAGAAAGGTTGGTGCTGATTAATAAAGTGTTGATGGTACTTTGTTTTGGGGGACATTGTGATCGATATTTTGGAGCCACCCAAGTGGACTAGAAAATATCACATTGTTATGGGAGGTCCTTCATCAGCTGGGGAGAGATTGCTGGGGAGTTTTACGCTGGCTAAAAGCCGAAATCAGATGGGGAAACAGAAAGAGAGAAGATGGGAGGGGGAGGTTCAAGATTTTGAAAGAGGAGAACCCCGGAACTGAGAGAATTTCAGTAGTGAGTATGGATTGTTGGGGATCTAACATTAACTTGTGGTTGTTTATTTTACATATAATAGAATAGCTAAATGATGGAGTGTATTAGTTCTTTAATAATTTATAGAAATACTTTGATGTTGCAGTAATTACATTAAAGGTCACATATCAAAGGTAATTTGGTTGAGCAGCTGTGATGGTTTCTCAGAAGCAATCAATATCACTGTCCGTGGTGCTGATTTCACCAAGGGGCCTGCCAGATTAAAGAAGGCTTATTACCAGGCAGAAAGGCCCAGGGGAAATCAGGAGCACATTGGAGCGTCGCGCCAGCCCCCCTTCCACGATAATTAACACTGTTCCCCATAATCTGCGCTAATCCTTCATACTGGGACATCCAATGGCATTTTTCTGAAATCACAAAGACAAGTTGGGCAAGTTTGAGAGGAAGGGGAAAAAGAAACATGAATGTATGTTGGGAGAGGGGAGGGATGAGTATGAGGCCAGTAGCAGACAGAACTGCACACACAGCCCAGAGGCCCCGTGCACTGCCTGGAATACCAGCCTTTCTTCAAAGGCTTCTCAGGGCGATCCATGGCCTCATAAGCCTCATCACACAAATTCTCAGGGCAAGCACAGCCTGCGGGGCACAGGGACAGGGAAAAAAGAAAGAATTGTAGCTCTAAGTTCCTAGGGCACATTGTCCCCACACAAACTCACATGCAGACAAATAAAAAACAAAATGACTGAATAAAATTATGCTTTAAAGTGGAGTCATTTTGATTCTGGAAAGCAGAACTGGAGTTATTATTGCTAGTTGGTTCTTTCCTTTGAGATCAGAGAAAGTGTGCTGCTAGCAAATGTAAGAATAGGACCAAGCAAAATGTTCCAAATAATACAGGCTCCTGCCAGCTAGGGCCTTGCTTAGGGCTACCTATTTGGGGGGGGGGGGAGAAGGAGAGAACCTCTCCTTGTCTGGGGTGATCACACTAGGTGCCCCAGCAAGCACACTCTGTGTCTGACTAAGGAGAACAAAATTGAAAAAAGAACCTGGAAAACTGGTAACCTCAGCAATTTAGGCACTTTTCCAGACTTCAGAATCCATTAAAATCAATCCATTAAAATCAGGCCTCCACTTTCTTACTGAGGAGAGAAAGAGGAGGAAAAGACAGTACAGGCAATGTATTCTGTTTCCCAGCAAGTTACAGAGCTAGCATCCTGTCACCAGCAAGAAAAGTCATCCCATGATTGTCATGCACATGACCATGCAAACACCACCGCCACAACACTGCAGGTGTCTCTAGCACAGGTCTTCATCTGGGGACAAGGAAGGGAAACTTTCTTTAGGAATGAGTGTACACTCAGCGCCAGACCACAATGGCTCTTCTCACAAATCAGAGGTCAATTTCCCCTAGAATCAGTCTAATTGAAACAACTCCAAAGGCTGATGGAGTCATCATGGACCAGCCCCACAAATGGAATATTATTTTTGACTTTGGAAAGGTTTTAGTAGAATGAGATTAGTAAACTATGAAGTTATCCCAGGGTCTTTTAGAACATAGCCTTCTGCCAGAATCTAAGCAAGGTGGTTCTACTTTTTCTAAACTCTATCAAGATCTCTCTTCCTCACAATGTCACTTGCCTTGCTTCCTGACCCTTGGTAGCCCATTCTTTCTGTTCTTAATGTTTATTCTGCTGTTCACAGTGTTGAATCCACATGGAACACTTTCTCCATCCATGTGCAAGTGTTGCCTAAGTGCATACCAGGAACTGGCCTAGATGGGTACCATGTAACATGAAGACAAGAAAACACATCTTCCATCCCTCTTGGAGTTTCTCTTCAAGTTGGGCACAGAAGCCACGCATACGCATGCTTGCACATACACACACATAAATATAACCAAAAACATAAGACAGTCGATGTCATAAAATGAGGAGTAGTGTGTACAGTTACTCATAAATCACAACTAACATTATTAAGCACTTAAAACAGACTGATATGTTGCCTCCTTTTATCTTCACAATCATGCTATGAGGAAGACATCATGTTTTCCACCACAGGTGAGGAGACTGAGATTTCCCCAAAGTTGTACAATTCGTCAATAGCAGGCATCTGCTGTGACCACTTCTGTTAGCCCTGCCAGCTGCTTCAGGAATTCAGAAGGGACTGAGATGACTGTGGAGTATGGGAATTACTAAAAAGTCTTCCTTGGGTCATGGGCATGTGGGAACAGAAGGCTGGGAGGAGGACCAGTAAGTCAGATGAGGGCCCAAGAAGCAGCCGGAAGATGGGCAGACAGGGCAGGGTGTGAGTCAGGAGCTGGTGATTGGTGAGATGCTTCAGGCAGTGGAAGCCTGCTCAGAGAGCTGCCTCTTGGATGAATTGTGTACCTTAAAATGCAGCCTTGATGCTTAGTCCCAGCTCCTCCAGCCTTTGTCTGGGACTTTGCAAGAAATTATCTCTCAGAAGAAGCCAAATGTTCCCAAAGTTAGGGACCCAAGGTCACAGGGGAGGCTCTGAGGATGAAGACCAGGTGATCCAACAGGATGTGGCTAGCACTTCCCTCCTTGGGCAGTGGAGAGGGCTCCTGTGCAGGGCTGCTGATGAGAGAGGTGGATCCATCCGCAGGGGCCTGAAGGCAGTGAGAGGGGGAGCTGTGGGGGAGGGGAGTTGTGTCTGCTTGGTAAACATTAAAGTTCCAATTCACTAGTTAAAGATTGGCTTTTGTATCCCCACTCCAGCAACCCTAGAATACAAAGCAAACTAACACACTCCCCACCTCCTCCCACCGCAGCCCCTGCAGATAAGCACTGCCCCTGCCTTGGCCACTCCCAGCTCCCCACCTCTGCCTGCAACTCTAAACTGGTTATTTCCATGGAAATTCGACATGACCTTCTTTGAGTTTATCAGAAAAGATGTTAAAACGGAAGATTAAAAAGAAGTTCAGTTGAATTCCTAGCCCTGCTGTGGCAGGCATCTCCTTCAGCATTCTGTATCCCGAAAGCCTTCCCTTTTCCTTTTCCTTAACCCCATTTCTTCATTCTCTTTTTCTCTCCTGGTTTTCTGCCTCTGTTCTCATCCTTCTGAACAGTTCCCACTTTCTTCTTTCCCTCTCATTTTTCACCTATTTTTCTTTTATCTTTCTCATGCTCTCTCTTTTTGGTTTGTTTGTATTTATTTTTGTTTTGAGACAGTGCCCTGCCATGTAGTCCATGTTGGCCCTGAACTTGCTGTATAGCATCAGGTGGA